GATATGTATGAGCATCAGTTGTAACGTCCACTCTACTGCTTATCAATTAATACAACCACGAAAAACGGAAGTGGAAGTTTTCACCTTTTTGGAACAAAAGTTTACGCTATGAAGCTATACTCCGCGCGGAACCTTCGGGCAGGGGCATTAAAGGTTCATCGGTCTGGATCCGGAGAGATACTGCCGTTAAATCTGGGGCCCAAAGCTTCTAAACTACTAAGCAGTTGAGAGGTACCCATTGATAAGCCCTTTGTATACAAATAAGCACCGAATCCATCTGCAACCCCGGATACTGTACCTACTGGGTCAGTAACACTTGACATGGCAAGTATTGTACGTTTCGGGATATACAGGGATCGGACACAGTACCAAAACTCAGCGCTGAGGATATACTACCGATGAACATATCCTCCCCTTCGGCAAGCCCGGGAGGCGCCACCACTACGGTCAATACTCATCCTAAATACATGGGAATGCACCCGGCGAAACTACTATACCTTCTGAAAAGCTCAAACTCCCAGTACAGCTGAGGGTTCGAAACGCAGAAGTAGATGAATTACCGCACACCGAGCTAGTGTACTCAAGAGACGGATCAAACGAACTAGACTTGAGGATACTACCCAATGCACCTATAATACTGAGCTTCAATCCTCTGCCCTTACTACGCATGCCAGGAAGGTACCGTAACCCAAAACATATCGTGAAACCCTGGATGGCATGGTTAAAGATCAATGGATAAAGCCCATTTAGCATGAACTTGGTTACCATAAAAAATTCGAACTAGGGAACCTGCTTCTCTACCAGCTGGACGCAAGAAGATTAGGCTGCAAGTGGGTCTTCTAAGTGAAAAATGATTGATGGCACCAATGATCGATGCAAGGAGCGCATCTATGCTAAAAAATACACGCAAGTATACGGAGACGACTACCTCGATACTTTTAGCCTAGCCAATATTAAATCTGTACGAATACTTCTAAGTCTAGCAGTAAGGTTAAACAGGAAAGTGTTTTCAATTTGACGTTAAGGAAACCTATACCCCGTAGTTTATAAGGAATTTGCATATGCACAGAGACTAAGCTTGTATTTGTCACAGAAATGACTGAAAAAACGCAATAAAATGCTTAGAGAAGGCCAACAACCACTCTAGCAAATTACTATCGACGATAATAACTTATATTACTCGGTGGTATACCAAATATAGGAAACTTAAACACCTGTCCCAATTTAGTTAACAAACTGAATACTTATGATAATCACCTTCTTTACTACTATCAATAATATTAATAATTTTAATAGGTATTAAATGAATAATAATAAGAATGTAATTAATTTGTGCTCTATCAACAGATGAATGTAAAAGGTTTACTTTTTCTACTTCTGGGGCGTAATCTTCAACCCTTTACAACAAAGGGGATAAGGATTGGGCAGTAAGAAGGGCATATATTCTTGAGTGTGGTATGCCAACTTCATAAATAAATAAATAAAAGGGCAGTTGTTATGGTCAAGTATGAGGGTTTGGCCTCCATGTGCATTTCATTGAAGATTTTGGCTTTATTATCGAGATAGTTGAAAGTAGACTAAAAAGGGAACTGCTCGGATCAGCACTTGATTGTTGTATAACAACAATTAGTTTTAATCAAACTAAAGACTTTGATATATTCAATAATTACAGAGAAGTTTTTCCTTTAAAAAATATTAAAAACTACTGTCGTAGTAATTGAATAGTAAATTTACTAAATTGATTCCTTAGTCAAGAATTGTAATTAAACGATGCTTGAATTTGGAGATTCCCTTTTTTCCAATTCTATCTGTTCTAGAGGTAAGCGTCGGAGCGCTAGCATTGAAAGATTTTAAAAGTACCATGACTTAATAACTTCTTCCTTCACTTCTCCCAAAATCTCAGAACTGACTTCTGTACACGATCACTTACGTATATATGATTATTTTAATAACTTTTTTCATATCTTTAAAAATCTTAAGAGTATTTAGTTTCGATGGGTCAGTTACGTTTTCGTTTTATATCTCTGTCTGGTGTTGAATATTTTCACCAACTTTTTTACAGCTGAAAAATAGTTGGCGTAAGTAGTTTTACTGTTTTCTAATTTCTAAAAAAAAAAAAATTAAATAAAAAAAAATTTTTTAATTGGTATAATAGACTGTCAAACAAAGTTTAGCTTAAGCATTGTTTCCGAAGAATTTTCTAAATTAGCTTCTTCTAAAAGGTTAGTTTAAATAAAGATTTGCTTTAGTGTGTACTTCATAAAAGTTTATATATATTTATATCTTAGTAAAGCAAAGGTATTTTTTTTATTTTAATGGGCTTTGAGGATTATTAGAAAGTATTGCATAATAATAATTGCATTTGCGAAAATATTATTTTTTTTTCGAATTCTCTAACTTTCAAATCTTTTTTTGTATTCAATATATTTTGATAAAAATTATACAGTAGTAATGCTTATATTACTACTGCAGTAATATTTGAATATCAATTTTATACTTCAATCAATTTTTATATCCTTTTATATCAACTTAATTTATGAATTTCAATAATTATGCTATCACCATAAGAAAGTGAAATACTGATAAGTCTGCGTCTTGCATTCGAACCTCACGATGATCATACAGATTCCTTTTCTAATATAGTTATAGTTCCTCATAGCAAGTGATTATTTACTAATAAATATATCTTTATTAAGTAACATTTATATATATACATTAAATAAAAGTTGAAACTTTTATAGAATTTACAAATATCCTTTTTATTTAGTACAAAAGTGATTAAAACTAAAGCGGACTAATTTGTTTTATAAAATTTCTCTGCAGAACTAAAATCAATTGTGCTTTTACACCAACACTATTATGATGGATCTGGTGCGGCGCGGCGCTACTGAATGACTTATACACTTTAGCAGAAAAATATAATTCAGGGCGGCTTAAAACTTTTCTCCAAATACGAGGTGCTTTGAAAAGGCGCAGGACAGCAACTATCTTTTCTTTTATTTAAAGTTAATAATAAATATTGTGTGGTAAATTTCATTTTCATAGTAAATTTCCTTTTTCTATTAATTTTTTATAAAATATTATCTTTAATATATTAAGAAGCTTTTATTTTTTTTTCATTGCATTGATTTAAGCCTATTTTTTTCTATTTTCTTTTTTGTTGTTTTTATATTTGATATTTTCAAAATGGAATTTATCTAGAATAAAAAATACGTTAAGTTGGCTATAGCACACAATCAACTTTTTAATTTATACAGGAAAAAGTTTTAATTCGTAATTTTTTTTATCCATAAGCCCTAAGTTTAATCCTAATCTAGCAGAGACTCCAAATGTGTTCGCTAACAGTAATAGCGTGCACCACTCTATTTGGGCCGTAATAAAGCTCGCTTAACAGTATTGAAAACATACACTCGATTAACTGTTCCTAGGGGAAATTAACTTGCGTTGAGACGATATGTAGCGTCTCTTTTGGAGACTTAAACATAAAACATCTCTGTGCATTAAGGAAAGCGCACCCGTCAAAATGCGCAGCAGCTTGTTATAGCACGAGGACTCGGTTTTTAGAGAGTTGTAAGCACAGCTGGTAGACACGTTTTTTAATTAATTGGCTACACAATACACAAGCGTCGTTGTTGCGCAAAAAGGGTTTGCTCTAGGCATGAATTAAAAAAATCATATTGTTAATAATGACCTTCCATTACACTAACCTGAACTTTACTTAGTTTCACAGGAACTGTGCGCTGGTATTGCCATATTTGTTTTGAGTTACTTCTTTATATAAAGAAGCATTATTAGTAGTGTCTTAATCTTTTCAACCTGTTAAATAATTTTTGCGAATAACGCGGCCTAGCAAGGTTGTATATAGGAAGCACGCGCAAGGTAAAATGCCTAAATAAAATTTTTTTAAATTTTGTCCGGCGATTAATCTTTAGTCTTACAAACTAATTGAAGAAATGTAATTTTGCCAATTAACCTAAACATTTGTTGTGGGAGGAGGAAAAATGCCTACCTATAACCTCATTAAAAGTCATTCTATCTTAGCAAAATATTTTTAACAGCACCAACAGTACACGCACCTGACTATCTTTTATTATAGTTGCTGCAATATAGTAGCGTAGAGCACTTGCTTTAGTCATAGAATGTCTCACACTGTGAATAAAAGTTCACGACTTACTTGCCCAAGTTGGTTTAGAATAATATAATTAATATAATCTTTGGGCTGTACTATTGAGGTCAAAGTTTAGGTTAAGGTTAGGGTATTTTGGAGGGTTGAGCATATAGATTTTTCACGAAAGTTGTATACGTACTTTATTGAGCGAAAATGTGGTTGTCACCGTAGCTCAGTAGTGGTTAGAGCATTGTCGCGCAAACTCGCATCTTTCTGGTTTGGTGGTTACGTGTACAACATCCCTACAAACAAAAAAAAAAGGAAAATTATAAGATTTTAGTAAGTAAAATTAATAATAAAGTGAATTTATACAAGTTTATTATTATTAAATAAGTTTTATAAACTGTTTCTGGCTCATCTGCTGTAGTTCCACACTATGCATGAATTAATAAGTGCATTTTTTCATTTAATATAGAATAACTTTTTAATAACGTAATGGATTACTTTAAAATTAATACACAGTAAACTTCTTTGTTCTAGCTACATTTTGTTAATACTTGGCCTTTAATTGGTTTAATAGTCGAAAAGATATGAGCTTGTAATGTGGAAGGGTTATAGAAACAATTTTTCACTTAGAAAGAATTTAATTTAATAAACGAGTTTTTAATAATTAATATAGCCCCTTTTTCCAGAATCACTGCTTGTATTCTTTTTAGCATACTGGCAACCAGATGGTAGCATTGATCCGGTGTTAAATTTTTCCATTTTAATTGTACATTGCCCAGAACTCGTCCAAGTTAGCAGGAGTTGATTCGTATGTTTCCAAATTTTCTCTTCAAGATTCCCCGTGCATGCTCAGTGGGATTGAGATTAGGAGATTGCAGAGACCAGTTTAGCACTTGGAACGACTGTAATTGAAGACATGGTCGCGCCGACAGTGCAGAGTGGCATGGGGCATTATCCTGCTGAAAAACCATTTCACCAAGACAAAGCCATACCAAACGCATCTCCTGGCTAGGTCATTCTTAATAATGTCTAAATGGGTGCCTGCGGTGATGCCCCCTGTCACTTTTCCCAAATATGCGACCCCCTTTGATGTTATACAGGACCAAATCATAATCGAGCCTCTTCCATGTTTATACATTTGCACCACCTGGTGAACAAGTATTCGATTATCGCCGGACCTCTTCCAATGCCACCTAATAGCATCTGAACCACCATATCGATTCGTTCTGGTCTCGTCCGAAAAAATTACTTTTTTTCCAGTCAGAGATGGTTCAAATTTTCGTTCTTCTTTGCAACTCAAAGCTAAGTCGCTTGTGAAGGCCTGTCAAAGTGGGTTTAAATAACTTTTTTTTCGCATCGAGACCAGCAGGATGTAATGCTCTCAATACGGTCGATCTTGAAACTGGTTGATCTAATGTTGTTCCAATGATTTTTGAAGCTTTATGTGCAGATTCAATCGCACCCAATGTCACTTGTCGTACAAGTCTAGCTACATCACGGTTTTTCAAGACCTTTGGACGCCCAGGTTCACTGCAAGGTCGATCTGGATTATAGTGAGCTTTGATCCGGGATATTGTGGCCTTACTGACACTACATTTACGAGCGATCTCAGTATAAGGCTTGCCCTTGTTCTAAAAGACATTTTACATCATTTTCTTTCTCTATTTAAAGTTTACGCATCATTAAATTAAGGTCTCTAAATAAGCTATCCTTTATTGCCCCTCAAACGGTTTTAAGAAAAACCCCTATGTTGGAGTGATCATGGAAATTTCGAATAGAGATTAAAACAATTTTGCACGGAGGAAGAACACGTAATAATCTTTTAAATCGCTTCTTAAACTTTAAAAAGCGATAAAACCTTAAGTAAGAAATCTATTCCTCTAATAGAAACTACATTAAATAGATCTCAATCTAAACTTATATACATGTGAGGGATCAACATAACTTATTAGTGCATTATAGAATTTTCACGAAAAAATTAAAAACAGAACTAATTTTGAACGAGTGTATATATTTGTTAAAAAAGCATTTTTACCATTAGTTGTAAATAATACTTTGATTGGATGTTTTAGGTAATCTACCATAAACTTTAAAACTAATTTTTTAAACTAATATAATATAGTTTTCGTCCCTATAAAATAGCTTAAAATTTTAATCGTAATTAGTTTTTTCTTTTTTTTATTTAAAGATATAATTAAAAAACCTAAGGAACAGTGCTCTATTTCTAAAATTTAGAGGCTTCCAGGGTGTCCACTTAGTTATATATACAATATTTTTGTGCTAGCGTAGTTAACTATTGTTTTTTTAAGTTCAGCCATTAAAGTCTTTTAACTGTGAAACATTTAAAAACAAGTTTAATTATATTAGACCACGTAGGTAATACCGATATTCTAAGAAGCTATATGCCCTGGTACAAAGTCGTGCTACTACAGGATAAGTTACCTCAGCAATTCACATATTTATATTATATTATAAAATTTTATAACTGTTAAAATTAGGAGCAGTTTTTTTTTAAAGTTAACTAGTTTTGATTAAGAGAAATAAGTTCCTCTAGAGGATATGTACATTTCCACTCTATTTTTTTTATGTTCTAATTCATCAAGAAACTTTTTATTGTAATTTAAAATATAAGTTTGGGCTATTTAACAATTATATTTATTTTTCCACCGTTTCACTGCGCACACACTATTTTGCTTGCAGGCATTTTATAATAATTTCTAAAGAAATATTCTGTTTTAAAGTTATAGTAACCTTATTAAAGCTTTGAAAATTTTGTTCATATGTACATAGATCTTGCAATATGATAGCAACACTGAGTGCAATCCTAAAAGTGATTATGTTGAGTATTGGTGTCTCAGCTCTACGTCCATCTTCAGCACTTAGTGAATGAATAGTTTGTGCTGTAAACACCATAAAAGGGATATTTATTGACTGCTAACTTAATTACAGTTTTCGTATCGTTCGGTTAAAAAGATATATTTGACTTAACTGTGCAGCATAATATATTGTCGGTCTTAACAAAATAAAAAAGAGAATAAAGACTTATTTTTTTTTTATACATATTAAAAATTTGAAAATATATAAGCACTATTGAATTTATTATTAATTCTTGAAGAAAAAGAACAGGTAAACCACCTCATAGAGCTAAGACTTCTGCGCCGTGAACCTGCAAATTTTCAGCTAGATCCGTATCGAAAATTTGTTCTAAGTAAATATAGGTGTTTTCTTTATATAATATAGAAATACAACAAGTAAACGACTAAAGACCACTCTCCGGGGTAGAATACTCATATGTTTCAGCTGGAACGTATTGAAATAGTTCATAAATGTCAGGAAAATTTTCCATTAGATAATTATTTTCTATAGCAGTAATTTTATCTTAGTTAACTCAGAAAAATAAAAAATGGGATATAACAAATTTTTTTTAGTTATGGAATCATCCTATAAGTTAAGAGAGGTGGTTTCCATCATACCCCTGATAATACTGAATTTTTGAGAAATTTAGCGCGTGTCTAAGCTTTATGACTTGCTAAAATTATCAAAGCCCTTGCTTTACTCAACTTTTCGCAATACTTTATTTATCTTCACTATTACTATACTACGTTGGCCTTACTTGCACTATCACTATAAAAATTATTGTACCGTAGTTCGTATAGTGCTCATTAAAAGAATTTCCTTCGTCGTTAATTGGTCCCGTTGATACCACTAATAGGATACGGTCGTGATACAAATATTTAAGTAAAAAGATATATCAGCTACTTTTGGACACGGCGTTATCCACTGTATTGGTGCCCTTCTTATCTATAAACAAACAGCAGTTATAATTAGTTAAATTGATAATTTAACTTTTATATTCCATAAAGATTTAACCCGGTGCTAGCGCAGAGTCACTCAGTTCCTTTATAGCGTCAAGAGCATCACGAACTTCAGGGATATCCAAATATTCAAGTTGCTTAAGCTTCTCCACCCCCTTACCAATCAAGTTAGCTGCTAGAGCTTTTCCTATAATTATACATTATTACGGCTTGTATGCTAACTCTAATATGCTAAATATATTAAAATGGGATGTTTGTGTATCCGACCTGCCTCCACCCCCTTCTTAGCAACTTCAGCCGCAAGGGCTTTAACTAAATTAGTATATAAAAATATTAGTAACTTTCAAGGTAGGTGGTAAATTTTTCCAAATAAAATTTTAACGTTTGCGCTTTGTTGTTAGTTACTGTTTACCTTTTTCTCCGTTCTCCTCCCAGGTCTTGCGCCCTAATTACAAATTAGTAAAAGTATTAAAAAACTTGCTATTTTCTGATTTTATGTATAAAATAAGGTTATGTACCCACATCGCTTAAAAAGCTCAGGCTTTTTTTTAATATTTTTTTAGCTATATATATATATATAGTCTATAATTAGTTCGAGATCCCTATTGCAATGTTAACTGTGTTAACTTGAATCCCAGAAGCCCCTTCTATACATGCGTACAGCGGGAGTTTCATCTCTTCTTCTTCGCACACTTGGCAATGAAACCCCTGTAAACACTTTATTAAGCTGTTGAAGACACTTCCAGGGTTCGTAGATTCCGTTAGCCTTAATTTTAAAAGTAACTATTATATCTCTCCTACTACCCAATTTTCCTTCCAACTTTTCAACTTTGTCTAATGATATTAAATCAGAAGGACACCCGGTATTATCTCTTAGTTCCAAAATTATTCCTTTTTCAATTTGTTCGCTATTATTAGATTGAATATTCATCATAACTTTAGATTGTATGTTTTTTATATCCACAGAGATAAATTTAAAGTCCCACTTGATACACTTCTCACTCTCTTCTTTTCCTTTTATTTGGACGTTACATAAACTCATTTTTGCTTTCTTCCCCATAAGTTCCTATATTTAAACATATTTATAGGTTATATAATCTTATAAAATTTAGAATTACAGGGTAATTCATGGCAAAATTTATTTTGAAAGAGATGTAATTTTGGTTGCATTCCGAACTCAAATTGTTATATACTTGCCGATAGCTTTGGTCAAGTGAATTATAATTATTATAATATCGATATGATTTTCTCACACTAGGGATTGTCAGCACTGCATGATAACTAACTTTACAATCAACAGGTCTATTAAATGTTGCTTGAATAGGTTCACCGAGTGTGTAATATCCATTACTTGGTCTCAAAGATTCTAAGTTACCTAAATAAAAATATTGGTAAAGTTTTAAAAATCACTTTATTATTATACCAGTCTTTTCATCATTTAGTAAGGATACTGCATTGAGGCGCCTAATAATTGTGAAACACAGGGCAAAACATGAGAAGCTAAACATCTTGCCGAATTCTAGAGGATTAATATATTTTTTTACTATTATTTATATAAATTGAAGTTAAAATAAAATCCATATATAGTTAACTAATACTATAATAATCAAAATAAAGTAAAAATTTTTAAAATGATATATAGGATTTCTTCTTCCTATAAATAGCTACATCTCCATGTTGGTTTTAATAAATGTTATACATGCAAGTAAACAATTTAACAAATAAACCAAAAATAAATTTTTAAAAGCAAAAATTGATAACCTTACCTCTTGGCGTCCGGTAGCGAATAGTATATTGTTAATAACGATCCAAACTTTTATTACTTTAAAAGTTAATAAAGAGAAAGAAATAAAGGATTAAATAAAAAAAAATTATGGTAAAAGCCGAAGTTTAAACTTTATTTGTTTTGTTTAAGAATAATTTTGTTTTAAAAGAATTTAAAAAATTAGAAATACAGGGTTTTTAATTCGAGTTGTCAATGCCTTTTTTCTAAGGGTAAGAAGCGGGGGGAAGTAATTTTTTTAATTTACGTCATATCATTTGTAACTTGTTTCTAAATATAATTACTATTTTATTTATAACAACAAATTTAAGAAAGAAGCTAGTTTGACACACCGAAGTGTTGCTAATTTTATCACTTACTCGGACAAATAAACAAATTGTTTTTTACACTTCCAAGCTTAAATGCAGTCTTTAGTATCCACAGAACTGAAGAAGACAAACTTTGGGGTCAAGAACAGTTAATATAAACTAATATAGATGAACGTCTCTAGGGTGTAGATAACTGTTTTAATAATTTTACTGGCTAATAATACTATTTTAACAATCCAAGTGCTCATAGAGTTGTTAATTTTTTTCCGGAAACAAGTAACATTAACCTATTGTACTTACTAAGGTACAATGACGGGTTGCCACATAAGATAACAGGAATTTTTTTAGGTCTCTCTACGGTTAGGGTTGGCTACCAGTCATTTCATTTAATTCACTCAACAGCCAGCTCATCTTTGGCTTCGGTAAGAACCAATAGAATCCGAATGCAACTCTAGTACACCTCGCGCAAGCTCTTTTCTGCTCAAGCTCAAGGTTACTTGACCCACTGGAACAGATTTGAAACAACAAAAGTCATCAGTGAAGACCTGAACCTCACCAAGCTCTTAGCTAACTTTAGCTCGAGACGATGTGCCCGATCCGCATGCCACGGGGAATTCAGCACTTGCTTCTGGGCTTAAGCTGCTGTGTAGTTTTTGCAAATTTTAAAAGCAGATCTTTCGACCTGTAGATTATCAAGTAATCTTGCAGACATTACTTATAGCCTTCAGAAGCGTCCGAACCTCATTTCAGAGCTTGTAACAGGAAGGGATCATAATCATGACCTAAAGGTTTTGTTGTTCCATAGGTCATTCGATGGCTACATCAGCCAAAGATCATAGGAAGCCTTTTCGATAGTAGAAGGTGACATGAACCGATACTAGATGAGTCTGCACCGATGCGCTAGTCCATCTCCGGATGGCAACCTCTTGCCCTCGTTCAATATTTCTACCTACCTGAGACCGCCAGGAATAACGTACCCGGCAGGCGCGTCTACAAAGGCACGATCTTTTTCTGCGCTTTACGATGACAGCCTAGGGACATAAAGCAAACCTCGCTCTGTCAAAGAGTGTAACGAACTATTACTAAAGCTGCGAGATATAGCTAATGACCAAATGCCAGAAATCGACATGAACCTGCCACTCATATGTCGGCCTACACTGTTGCCTAATCAGGATCTTCAAAGGACGGCTGAACTGATTGCTTACCTCACTGTGACTAAAACAATGGCCAGGTTGCCCACGCGAAGGTAACTAGAAGGAATCTGAATTCCCATTCTCTTATAACGTGTTTATAACGTGTTTTTCGAGTCCTTTATTCGTCTAAATGATTCCTCCAGGTCAAAATAGTATCAGTACCCAAACTTGGTTAATTTTCTTAGGCCAGACCTAAGGGACGACAAAGGATTTGCACAGGATTGACAGAGGATTAAACAAGACCATAGCATTCTAGCCGACCAAAATTCGTCACTAAAGCATTGGTAGTCAATGCAATCAAGGTTATTACAGTGTCCAAGATTATTGAAATGCGTCCGCACAGTTAGTAAGTCAAGAAAGAAGCGAGGTTCCTTCTCAGAAGCAGTGCCATAAATATCTTTTTAGTGTCCACTGACTCAAGGAAACGTACACGATAGCGTTAATGTAGTAGTTAGGCGTGAACTCGTATCCAACAAGGTACATTTTTATAGTCCTTAGTGTTAGCAAACAAATGGCCTAGCGCTAAGCCCAAAAAAGGAAACTATTTTATTTATGTTCGCCTATTAATGAGGGACGTTGTTAGCGTGATAAAAATCTGTATAGTAGCTAATACTATTTGTCTTTTTACGATTTATTAGGCTAAAAGAGAGCACGAAGGGGTCGGGTCACTAATCTAATAAAAGTATACAAAGATGTTTAAACCTCCAATTTTTTTTTTTTTCATATAGACAATTTAGAGTAAACTCATAGATTTCTAGTAGTCAAGAGTAAAAGTCAATACGAGCCTTTTATCTAAGCCAGGATGACGGACCCGTCCACCAAGTCTTCAAACTTTTATTACTTAGTTATCTCCAACGAGTTTAGGCCTATAAATAGAACTATAAAATAATTTTATAACTAGTGAGTGCAGAAGACTAAGATAACAAAATTTTGCTCAGACCTTCGTTAAATACAGCTGTTGACAAAGGTTTGACATAGCTACGCTATTTTAACCCCATATCGTCAGCTAGCATCTCCTCTAAAACATGGGGCATGGTTTGCTCAAAAGTTAGAGGCGCTGCTGTGTAACTAGGTTACATTCGATCACAGTTGTCACTACTAGGGTTAAGTAGTTATTTAAAAATAAAACTAGGGTTTCAAGTTAATGGCTGTTCGAATTTCTGCAATATAAATAATAGGTCAGAGCCGTAAAAACATTATCCCGCATTCTGATACCAAATCCTAGATAAAACAGACATACTAACAGGAGCATTGACATTCTCGAACTTAGAGTCAGTACAAGATTGGGATGTTCATACAAACTTCTGACAAAGTATGAAACAATGGTTTGGAAGAGATGACAGATAGTAACGTTACCGCATAATCTTAAACGAAGGCTTATTCCCTTTGCAGTATAACTAATGACCTCTTTCGGATCATTAACCAAGCTAGTACCATAAGAGTCGAGGCTGGAATAAAATTAGCCAAGAATCCAACCCTTGGCGCCTGAAATCTAAGATTACCACGCTCAACCAAACAGAGAAAGAGGTCCCTAAAGTCACAATTAATTGAAAAGTCGGACTATAGACAAAAGGAACCCAGCCTAGTACATTAGTAAGTAGTAAGAATAAAGATAAGGATAGTATAAAAGACAGGTAAGACTTGTTTATATCTTTGCTCATTTTGCAAGCTTCGTTAATTAAGGAAAACCTTAAAGCAAGCTGAGTAAACCCAAGGCGGCCACAAAAGTTAGCAAGAGAGTTAGACTACTGTTCGATAGACCTGGAATGAAAGTATCTTGATACAAGTAAATTCTTCTAATACAATCATTTTTTGCTTTATTGACACTCTTTATTAAAACAAAAGGCCTTTCTTGTAAGAAAATAAAAGAGAAGACCCGTTACACTAGTAGAGCGAAATATAAAGCTTACATCACTAGAGGAAGGTCTCGTACAGGAAGGAGAATGCGACCCCCTCAAAAGGGCCTGATAATTGTCAGCCTACTGCAGTATGACACTAAACACATCTGAAGGAGAACTATAAGACTTACATGACGATAGCTAAGGAAATCTGTATGATGCATTAAAGGAAGAAGAAAGTTCCACTTTGGTAGAACAAAACTAACGAACATTCTAGAAATACTAAAATCTTGTTCTACCAAAGTAAAACGAAAAAGGATAAAAACAATAGTGTTTTATTAATAAATTCTAAACCTCTTATTTAGATTAATTTAGAAACTTGTTAACTTTTATTATCAATAGCTAAAATTAAATAAACGCTTTAATTATTAGTACATTTTTAAAACCATTTTATAAATTTATAGTAATCTTTAGTTATTTACCATATAAAACTTTTAGTGTTTGTTATATCTTCACTTAATATTTTTTATTCACTTCCAAAAAATATATTATTTATATATTTAATTGAAGTATTATTGTATTCTTCAATACTTTCTTTTAACGTTTGCGTCCTACAATGTCCTCCTCAGATTATCTTTTTAATTCTCTAAACTATTTCTTTGAAATACACAAAAGAGTCCTTCTCTTATTGTCAATAAAAATAAAATATATTTTTATAATTAAGACGGTAACTTTTTTATTTATAAATAACTATTGAGAATCTCTAGTCTTACTTAAATATATATTATATATTAAATAGAGGAAACGAAGACCTAAATTAATAGAATAAAAATCCCGAATTATTTTATTATTGTAAAGTAAAAACTTAATGTTTTTTATATAATTTTATTTTAACTTTTATTCAATATTAAATATAAAACTTAATATTATAAAATAAAAAGTTAAAAAAAAAGTTGAAATGTCTAAAAAATATGCCCCTATTTATAAATCAAGTAAAAGTTTTTTTTAGATTTTTTTTTTTATTTAAACGTAAAGGATATATCTATAATTTTATTATAAGTTTATGTACTAAGGTAATAAAATTTATATTATAAAAGAAAAAGTTTAAAAGATTTATTTATAAAACTTCCAATTTGTATAGTAATATTAAAAATTTATTATGCCATCATAAAACTTTACTTTTTTATTATAAGTTAAAAAATATTAATATTAACAAATATTATACTTTAAAATACAAAATTAAATTTAAATAGTTTGAAAAATATGTCCCTTATATTTATAAAGTAAAAAGTTAACCAGAATTTATATAATTATTTATAATGTAAAAGCTCTAAGGGTTTATAAAAACAATTTTTTATTAAAAGTTGATATAACAAAATATTAAAATATTAAAATGCTTATTATAATAAAGTAAAATTAAAAAACTTATAAAGTCCATAAAATTGCTTTTTTATAATACTTAAAAACAAATATTTACAGATTTATTATCACTAAGTAAAAAGTTTATAAAAATTTTAATAAAAAACAAAAAATTTCGGAATTACGAAGTAAAAGTTGAAAAGAGTATCACATTATATTAAAAAAAAAACTTAATTTTTATAAAAAACGTTAAGAATATTAATATAAAAATATCTTAATATAGAAAAGGATGAAGTTTTTAAGATCTTTATATTACTGTTTTCCTTTTTAAATAAAAAATCTTTAATTTCATTCAGTAGAAGGTAGTGTTAAAATATTTAACTTTATAAAGGTTAAAAAATATTAATATAACTCTTAATCTTTCATAGTAAAAAGTGTAAAAGATTTCTTAGAAAATTGTAAAATTAGCAAAAACAGCAAAAATATATTATTAAAAACATTTATTATTAAAAAGTTTAAATTTTTAAATCGTTAGAAATATGTTATTTTTAAATCTAAAAAAAGCTAGATTATTATTAAAATTACTTTTGAAAACAAATAAATATTTAAGCGTAGTTTAAGCGAAAATACTTTTATAGCATTCTTTAAAAAAATATTATTGACTTCAAGGAAAGCAAAAGATTAGGGATTGTTTATATTAAAACTTCAAATATCAGAATTATTATTAATCCAAATAAAGAAAATAATAAATTTTTTCACTAAATAAAGTTAAAAAACATAAAATTTAATAATAAACTTTTTTAAGTATTCTTTTAAAATAAAAAATAACAGTAAACTGATGTTTAATAGCAATAAAATATTCAAAAAAAAATTAAATTTATAATATATTCTAAATTAATATGAAAGTAAATAAAATATAATGCTCTGTTCGTAATGTCAGAAGCCTTCAAGAGTATGTTGGGATATTGTGAAAATCCGTGCAAATTTAGCTACTCCTCAACTTGTGTACGTTAACGAAAGATACCTGAATATATATATATGATATGTCTCGTGACACCTGCCTTAAAGGAACATAAACTGTCTGCGAGGCCCACACAACAGTTTTGTGTGCGCCCGAGTTTACGCCGGGGTTTAGGGTGTGGCAATTGGTTTAGTACCCTTGTATTTTTGTCTGACGGGACAAAAAAACACCGTTAATGGTTATTATTTTTCATTGACCCATCTTCGTTACTTCTCAGCGGATGCTATAATGCTGTAGTTATTTACTTTGTTGGGGGAAGAGGTGAGACTGTCATCCTTAAGCCCGCTGAGCTTTAATAACCCATCTGGGTGTCTATCAGCAACTATCGGTTTAATGTACTTCGTCAAATCTTGCTGTATTTTAATACTTTCCTGCTTGACACTTATTACGGATCTTAAAGCTTTCAACTTTTTTATCTGTCTTTAAGTATTTCCGCCTTCCCTTCCTGTTGAAAACAAAGGTGCGCTTCGGCTCATCGGAATTACTTCTCTCTTTAGAAGGCTGGTTTATAAGTGTTTAAAAAACGATAACGTTTATAAAAGTTAAGCTGAAATATGACGTGTTGAATGCTTGGATACAATGGACATTAAAGTTCACAAATAAAACTTTAACTTCTTCTAATACTTTGGATTTGAATATATTTAACGAAAAAATTCTCATGGGATCGTAAGTATTATAATTTTATTTATGTTGTTCTGACAAAACAAAGTTTTGACAATTGACACACGCAGTAACGGTTTAATATCCGGTTTACATTTTGAAAAGCTCTTCCATTAAAACTTTGGCTAACTCGAAACTTTCTTAAATTCATAAGTGATGCTGTTAGCTTGTATTCATGACCTATGACCTTAGTATTCTTCTGCATCTCCCTTCCCACATTATCATAAAAACCAAAGTCCTTGCTTTTACAGAAATTACGTAGCCCTTTGTTTAATAAATTTATAGTGAGGTAACATACATTACTTAGATGGTTTTGATGCCCATCATATACTTAGAATGCTCTCACCAAAGCAAGATTTTATTATATAGCTCTATTTAATCACTATGAATCCGCTCATAACAACCTAGAGTTTTCGAGAAATTCCTTGGGTTGAACCTAAACTCTGCTTGAACAATTTCATTATTTTTGTAGAATTTTTAAATTTTTTCCAATATGAAGTGCTTTTCAGGGTTAAAAATTATGAAACCTTAAAATTATTATCAGAAATAAAAGATCTATATACTCCTGTGCCTAAAAAAAAACATGTACGGGAAAATTTCACTATTCCTTTCAGAAACGTTTGGCTTTCGCTTTGAGCTTAACTTTTTTTTTTAAGTGTCCTGTTTTTTCTATAAAGGGATCTCTGATGTAAAAGTAGGGGGTTGTTGTTTTCTCACCTGAAGGTGTTCTTTGTCAGTGAAAAAGCTGATTGCGTTCAAATCCATGACTTTTTTTCCAGGAAACATCTCATTGGTTAGGCAACTTCCTGGAGGCAATGTGATGCGTGTATGGTTTCGTAAGCCTGCTTTTTATGAAGAATAATACTCTTCACCTTTCTGCAAGTTGATTTTGTAAATGTTGTAATGATAGATGTTCGATAAGGATGTCAAATAATCCTTCCTCTTGTTCAAGAGTTTTATAACCTTTTTTTTTAAGATTGGTAGGAAAAATCTCAACAGTATACATAATTTTGTAGTCTTCAGCCAAACTTGAGTTCATTACGTCGTCTTAAGATCAATAAATTTTTTAAGCACGTTTTGGTAAGCCTTATATAAGAAAAATGAGTCTTTTTATTGAACTTTTTACTTTTTTAATAATATGAAAATTAAACTTGATGCTTTATGTAATTGTCAACTGACAGGACCTTATTTTGTAATTATACGTAGATCTTTTACCGACTCATAATGTTATTATATATAAGAGATTACGTTTTTATATCTTTAAAAGTATGACATGAGTCTAAAGACGCACAGTGCCAAAGCACGATTTAATTATTGAATCATTCACTCGATGCTTACCTGCCCGGAGCATCCCCCTCGCTTTTCGCGCACTAGAGAGCGCTGATATTTATGCTATGACTTCATACGTCTACATATTAGTAAATCATTAAGTTTTCTAAACTTACCTACAGCTGGAATTAAATTAGGTAGATGAGTTTTGATTCAAAACTTAAGAGAATTGCGTTATCATTTATTCCATTATTAGAATGGCTCCTGGTCGGTATATCTCAGATGAAAACTTGGAGGTTATATCAGATAACCTAAGTGATGACGAGGCCGCCGCTCTTGACATTATTGAAGAAAAAAATTCTGAACAATCTGGTCGTGTGTCTGAGACCTCAGTTATAATAGATGAAGTAACCGCTAAGTCCGAAGTGAATGATATGGACTTAGATACAAAAATAGTAACCAAAGATAAAACTACACGGTCTTGTAATCCACCTCAATAACAAAAACTTGGTCACATACTATTTTAAAAGTGGCTTTAACACATCTTGTTCTTCCACCTTTTAATTTGATTTACCAAGCAAAAAGGCTTTCCGGGTTTTCAGTCTTCATAATTTTAAAGGGCAGTGGAAATTTTGCGATATTGTAAAACTCAAGCATTTTTTTAACTACTTAATTACTGCAGAAAATTTAAAAATTAACAACACAAGTTAAAAAATTTTGTGGAACTTTATCTACAGTCCTCCAAATATTAATACCACAAGGGGCTTTATCGTTTTAAAATTCTTTTAATGTTTATCAGACAAGTAAAAAAATAAGTTAGCTCCAATGCGTAGTTTTGTTGGGGGTGGGGGCGGGGGGCATTAAATCTTTAGCAATTTCAAAAAATTACATTTTGGTAGTAACTTAATTGTTGATGAGCAATTAGTACTTTTTCATGGTAATTATTCGTGTAGACAATACATGCCTGCTAAG